AAATATAATATTTGAGTTGTTACAATTGAACATATTGTAGTAAATATTTGTATTATTCGCGTTGTTTATTTTAGCTAATATAGTTTTATTGTTCTATTATTTTGTTTAATTCTTTGTTAGTTCTATTTAGTTAATTAGTTAGTTCTATTTTGAATTTTATTATTAGAGATAGTCAAAGTTTTCTATTTGTTCTATCCGATAATGCGTTGGTAAGTTTTTCTTGAATAAATATAAATATGATAAATGTTCTTTAAAAGTTAATATTTTTAGATGAGTAAGGATGCTGTTAAATTACGAGGTAATCAAACTGCACAAAGATTTATTCAAAACACTAACCATTTTTGTTTAATTATTTGCCCATTCGGCGAAGGTGGATCATTAAAATATATTTATAAAATTATGTAAATATGTTCTTAATAACAAAAATATTTCAGTTAACATCCAGTTCAGTTTGATATGGCGTCAAAAATTAAATAAAAGCTGTGATAAAAGTTACAGTAATTTAGGTTATATCGTTAAGTTGCTCCAAATGTAGGCAACCAACTAAACTTTTTGTTAGGATTTAGCTGGAGTTTCTTGAGAATATTTTTAATAAACGTTTATTATTTTCCAGTTAATTTATTATTTTTTTAAAGTGATGATAATAATGCTGAATAAGCAATATTTCAAATGATATTTAATCACAAAACGTACTTAATATTGTGTTATTGTAAAATCCTTTTTTATAATTTATGTAATTTTTGAATTATAATATGAATATTATGATATTTTTTATCTAACCTACTTTATAACACAATATTAAGTAGATACGTCCTGTGATTAGATATCATTTGAAATATTGCTTATTCAGCATTATTATCATCACTTTAAAAAATAATAATAAATTAACTGGAAAATATTAAATATATTCTCAAGAAATTCCAGCTAAAATGCTAACAAAAAGTTTAAGTTGGTTGCCTACATTTGGCGCAACCTAATGATATAAACTAAATTACCGTAACTTTTTTATAAAACATATTTTTTATATATAATAGAAACTTACATTCTATATGCATGCTATAAATTTCTAATTCATAGTATAAGTTTGCAAAAGAGGTCGACGAAATACTCTATGAAATGCGCTATGAGCACGTGTACTTGGTTGTATAATAATTTCCAGCCACTTCTAGTCTGTCAAAATGTAACCAACTTCGTAAAAACATTACTAAAATGGCTAGACAGTTCGGACTGGCACTGGCATTAGCGAACCGAGTAGCAAGTCTCATGCATGATACTATAACTATAAGATAAGATATTGCGCATGTTTTTGTGACGTCATTGGAGACTTGCACCTTCGAAATGTCAGTTTTTGTATATATCAATAAATAATCTTTAATAAATAGTTTGGAGATATCCTTATGTGTACGATTATTGTAATTATTAAACCTCTTAACTTATTTTCGTCTAGTAATTTCATCACAGAATGCATACAAATCTCTTTTAACTTTAACAAGAATTCAAATTCTAGTCTCCAATGACGGCATGCGCGAACCCAACCGATTTTGAGCTACGGGAAGATCCTATCTTGTTATTCATAGTATCATGGTCTCATGTATATACACTTCATCTAATTTATATAACGATGCACGTCATCGGCGTCATAGCCTGTGACGTCATATGATACCAACACGAAATATTTAGGGTTTAGGTGTGTTCTTTTTAGAATCACTTTACCGAGTACACTGGCATTACAGCCACTAGGCATATTTTATTATATACGCGTAGAAATAATATTTAAAAATTTCTATTAATGTTAACTTAAAGAAATACACAATAATATGTTTCATTTAATTTGTATAAATCCATTATAAAGAGTTTTTATCAAGAACATTTGTTCGGAACACACTGTAACTGTAATCGAACGAAGGTAAAATTTTGGCATAAATTGGTAACACTTATTTGACAGTTGCGGTGTTGACACTTTTTGTACTTTATTATTTTGAATTTTAAAGTGAATACCTCTTGTTTTATATTTTTACCTATTTAATAAAATCTGTTGTTTTTAGAACAAAATTAGTGTGTTTTATTTCAAAAATGTCACGTAAGAATTTAAATAGTCGTTGTAAAGAGATGGTAATACTTTTGCAATAATTATGTGACCTATTTGATTTAAAATGGAGTCAGGATTTTTTTATACTTTGGCAACTATGTCAACTTCGATCTCTGACGTATATAATGACGTAAGTCGATATCTAAATTAGATGAAGTATATGTGAGTTCGAATCCCAGTATGAATTTCGTTTTTTTATTTTTGAAATATTTAAAAACCCCACGTTAATCTTATTAAATATAATATGTAGTATACGCAAAAATGCTAAATTTTAAAATAAAATGAAAGTTTACAACATAATTTGAGTAGTTGTTTTTTTTTTATTTTTATCCTCCACAAATATTTTTTGAAGTTATAATTCTATACGCGAGTTCGACGTTGGAAATTTGTACAGGAGTGAATCGTCAAAATCATTACATATGTTAGATATAGGTAAGAGAGAGACAGACGATATATTTTCTCTCTCTTTCGCCCTCGAGAATAAAAATGTTCATTTTGTAAATATATTTAATATTTATTAATAATATTATTTTTTATTAATTATATTATCATGGTAAATTAAACATATGCGCAAGTAAGTTATGTATATTGTCATTTTTAAATACTTATAAATAAGTATTGCATTTTAATTTGTATTGTATTATTATATTGAATTATGTTGCAGTTACTGTATTGTATTGTATTTTTGTAACAAAATTAACAATGAATTTTACTGCAGAGTATGTGTAAAAAAATTTTTTTGCATTCAACTCCTTTTATACGTATATGAAAATAAAAATATGTTTTTTCATTAAAATATTGATTCAATCCTACATTTACTATACTCCTATTACAGGTCAAAGGTTTTATTTATTTATTTAGCGTATGACTACATCACAGGTTCATATATATACATATAATATAAATTATATAAATTACAAACAACAGTAAATACAAACATATTATTCTACAAACAAACATCTAGATTATAAATATATTCGATTGACTTTTTTATAGCAGCCAGGAAATCTGAAGGGTTGCCATTATAGGATCTAATCGGGCATTCCTCTACCATGTGTTTTACTGTTTGCCTTTCGGCGCCGCAGTCGCAATTTGGTGATTGTATTTTTCCCCATCTAAAAAGTGAGTCGGAACATCTGCCACAGTTCGTCCTTATTCTATTGAGTGTGGTCCAAATTCGTCTCGGTTGGTTGAAGCCCTCAGGTTTGCTTGTAATACATGACATGTTCCAGTTAGCTGGTGCAGAGTTATTCTCCCATTGTTCTCTCCACCGTTCAGTTACATTAAAGTTTTGATCTACTAGCCTTTTTGCTGTTTTTAGAGGCGGGTGTCTTGAACGGAGCCTATTTATGTCTCTGGCGGAAGTTCCGACATGGAAGCGGAGCTCAGGATCAGTATTGATTTTTGTAAATTCTCTGACAAGGGCATGTTCCCGGCGGATGGGTGGTGGAGCTATATGACTCAAAGCTGGTAACCAGTAAGTGGGCGTGGCCTTGATTGTGCCCGATATAGTTCGCATGGCTTGGTTGAGTTGGACATCAACACGGTGAGTGTGTGGACTGTTTATCCATACTGGTGCACAGTATTCCGCTACGGGGTATACCAGTCCTAATGCTGTCGATCTAAGTGTGGGTGCTGAGGAGCCCATGTAGTGCCGCAGAGCTTTTGCAGGATGTTGTTACGAGTTCGGAGTTTTGCAGCAGTCTTAGTAAGATGCTCTTAAAAGTTCAGCGTTCTGTCAAGTGTAACACCCAAGTATTTTGGGTGTTTATTATATTTAAGGAGTCTATCCCCAAAATTGATTTGAGGTTGATAGTTGGCCATCTTGTTGTTCAAATGGAAGCAGGACACTTCTGTCTTAGTTGGATTGGGTTGCAATCTCCATTTGCGGAAATAATTCCCTAGGGCATTTAAATCGTTTGTTAGAATGCGTTCAGTGACCTCGAATTCTTTATGACTTGCGGCAAGCGTCCAGTCGTCTGCGTATCCAAACTTTTTTGATGTGGTTTCTGGCATGTCTGCTATGTAGAGGCTGAAAAGCATGGGAGCCAGCACGGATCCTTGTGGAAGTCCATTATTCAGTTTTCTTTGGGTACTAGTCTTGTCTCCCAATATAACTTTAAAGCATCTGTTGGATAGCATGACGTTAATAACCTCAGTGGTCTTTCTGCATGGGATTATTCGCATTAATTTATATATTGCCCCTTGTCGCCACACAGTGTCATAAGCAGCAGATAGATCGATGAAGACAGCAAAATAAGATAATAAAATAACAAAAGGTAAAATACAGCAAACGATGCACCATATACCTAATTCTTTTTTGTTTCTGCTCTCTCTTACCTATATATACATATGTTATGATTGTGCAGATTGGCTCCCATATAAATTTGTAACGGCAAACGCGTATATAGAAGTATAACTTCTACCGACAGTCCCATTGGTCGGCAGCACCCGTTTTCACTTTATATAAAACAATAAGGAGTAAATATTTGTCTCTTTCGAGATTAATTGCTAACATCTGTTGCAATCTGGCAAATTTTGAAATAATTTAATCTATTCTTCAACTAAAATTACAAATAAAATAGTGCAGATTATGTCTATAGTTGTCGTAAATAAATTAAACCGGGATCATTTTTCTATGCACACCAGATAAAATCTCACTGAACAGCACTGGTTCCGTTTAAAATATGGCTGATTCCGTCTGCGCCATCGAGCAAAAAGGCGTATTTTCAAATTGTCTTTTTGCTCGATGGTCTGCGCGAACGAGATGCGCCTATAGTTTTTGAAACAGAGTGGGCATTTTGATTTTAAAATCCATCTTTGATCTGCTCACAAATGTCAACTGTCTGTACAATTAAATATTCTATGGATTAATGATAAACGTCGTTCATACGTCATTTTTATGGCAAGCGCAAGGCAAGGAAGGGTGCTAGACAATTTAGACCGGCGGTGTCGAAATTAAAAAATTCCGGATAAGATTCCAAAGAAAACTTATTGTGCTTTAAAAAGTTCATTTAAAAATGAATAAACTGGAAGAAAAAATAATATCCGGTTTAAATAGCATAGGGTCAGTTAAATAATTTAATGTATACTTATCTGAGTTTAATGTGCATATTATTTCAGTTATAATGGACCTTTATTAAAAAAACCCAATTTTCCTTTGGCTATAGAAAGTGGGCCGAAAAGTGTGGAATATACAGAACTTGTAAATTTCCTTACAAATGAAATTAGAACTTTACAGGATATAGATGAAGAAGTTAATGCCATTACTTCACCAGAAGATGCTGTTGCTTTTATCATGGAAGTCACATCATTCTTAAAAGAATTAAGTAATTCGATTTTATTATAAATATAGAAAGATAAAATTAATCGAGTTATGTTTCAGATTGTCCATATAAATCTCTTCTAGAAGGACATGTATCTGAAAGATTACAAAATGTATCTGATAGACTATTGCTGCTAGATTATCTGATTACAGAACTTATGGGGGCCCGTATTTTACAAGAAAAGAGGCCTACTAAAAAAATTGAACTCAAACTTGTAAGCACTTATTTTCTTTTTTCTTTATTGGTGATATTATTTGTATTAGAAATGTTTCAAGACCTCCTGACCCTCGTAAATAGGCATGCCCGAAAAAATAATTGGAACCTAAAAACATGCACCATTTTAATTTCATAGGAAATTAGGAGACAGAGTAGGCTTTGCATATAATACTAAATGATATCGAGTATTATATCATTTAGTCCAGTTAGTTGCATTTTTATTTTATCTCACATTGAAAGATGCAATAAAAATTTACAATTCCTGTCTTGAATGCAGATAAGAATTGCTGTGTAAAAATGTAAAATATTTACATTGCACTAATTTGGCTGATAAATAAACCTTTTAAGAACTGAAAAAAATCTTTAGGACAAATAAATAAATAACAAATCAATGTATGATAGAAAAATAATAGGATTTTGGTTTTAAATTAAGCAAAATACATTTATACAAGATGAAAACCTCGAATTCCTTGGGAAAAATGTTCCCATGAGATTTTTTGCACAATGACTTTCATAAAATACTGTAGAATACTGTTCAAGAGGCCATCCATACAAAAAGTGGACCTTATTTATTAAACAGTTTAGTATAAATAAAATAAAAATATTAAACCCATTTCACTAACACAAAAACTAGTTCATTTCTGTCTCGCTATGATAATGCACTGAAGTGAACTGCATTTTTTTATCATTTTGTCTGATATCATTGTTTCATTCATAGATTGATGTCACTAAATGATTACATCAGGTTCATGACATTATGAATTATCTTTACTTGGTAATTGTGTGTACTTTATGCAAGACCAAACAGAACTTATGAAACAATTTAGTGTTTTGTCTATTTAAGGTCGATTCAAATACATCAGTCACGTCTTGTTACAGTCCGGCGCCGAACCTAACAATCTGTCGTACAAAATATTCTTTAATAGAAATATGCTGTTGACATTCACATTCATCAGTTGACGAACAGATTCCCAGCAGTCAGGTTTCGACACGTCTATCGCCCGGCCCATTTTATAATCTCAGCGACAAATTTTTTGGTTTTGCCGGGAGCATAACAGGCGGTACAAGTGAACAAAATAAAATTATTGACGAACACTTGATAGAATCTTTGAGAAAATATAATGTTTTATATGAACTGACATGCTAACAATGGCAAATGTTTTAAGTGTAAGACAGACAATTGTATGTAATAGTATGATTTTTGTTTATAAAATGTTAAATGGTCTGATACCTGTGCATTTGTGTAATAATTGTACCTTTGTTCGAGATGTACATGAACACAACACACGTTCTAGAAATAACTTTTATCTGAATAGGGTCAACACTAATTTTGGTCAGAACAATCTTTTTTATAGGGGATTAAAGCAATACAATGAATTACCGGAAAACATTAAGGCTTCTGGAAACTTAGCTCAATCTAAAAATTTATGTAAGATATATGTTAAGCAAAGCATTGTGATTTAATTTTAAGGGTATAAATTGATGTATCTATATGTATATTTTTCTAGCCATGTGTATTAATAAAGATTATTATTATTATGATTTGTCACATGGACATTAATTTAAAAAATAATATTTGGCAGGAAAGCAATTTTTTGACATCCTAAAATATTGATGAAATTTTACATCATCATGAAACAGTTCTTTATACAGTGTCATGTATTCTCCTTTGGTATCCCTTTTTTTCTATGTATCATGGATCCATTTCCGTCTTTTTGCTTGGTTTGCTTCCGCTTCTTCTTCCTCATCAAAACATATAGCTATTATTACTAATTGTTCATCCAAGAAACTTTCCATCTTTTCAACAGATTGGTCGCTGAAGACTGATGCATTTCAGGTGTGTGCGAATAGATGAACAAATAGTTCTGTGACCAGACGGGACCGGTTCTGCGCCAGGACTGTGATGGAACTGATGTGTTGGAATCAACCCTAATATGATACTTCAACTGATTAATTTCATGTTAATCTTAAATATTAATAATTCTCTGATGGTTGGGAAAAAGGGCTTAAGTTTACAGGAGGAATTCTGGAATGTTCCAGAGATTGTTATTAATTGCACAAGTCACCTTAAACCAATTTAGTACAATAGTACCATTTATAGTAATAAATGAATATGAATGAATATGTTGTTCTTAACAAATAATTGTTAATAGAAATAAAAAAAAGTAATATAAAAGTGAACCAGATCTAGAAAATAAAAATGATTATTATGGGAAGTCTTTCAAATCTCTGCATATATTGTTAGAGAACTTTATCAATTTCTGGTACATTTAGGATAGTAGGAAGATCTTTGTAAAATTGGTGAAATATTGGAGGTATCAAGTCAATGAAATCTAGTAGATCTTTTTTTCTTTTGTCACAGGAGGAGGACTCACATACGGAGAAGTGACATCAATGGTTTTAAAACCACGATCTCTCCTCTTAATGATATATGCTTAAAAGGTGTATTACATTTTAGAGATGTATTGTAATCGAATTGGCCTAATATCTGTCCTACAATCAACCATTGGCATCATCATCATCATTTTGGCTTTACAACCCTGTGTGGGTCCTAGCCTCCCCAAGAATTATCTTCCAGTCGTCCCTATCCATCGTCTTCCTCCGCCAAGCACGTATTTCCATATTTCTCATATCTTATCAACCATTGGCACTCATGCCATAAAAAATTCTCACCACTGTAATTTTTCGGTTTTTGTACTAATGGACCTTTGAAAAGTTCTGTTTATTTTCAACTATTTTAAATTTGTTGCTAGTACATTGAATTAATGTAACTCAGTTGTAGGGATGAGCTATTAAAGTTACATTCTTTTTTTTTTTTCTATTAAAGAATGATCTTGATCATATTCCATTCAGGTGTGGCAGAGTATTAGCAATTTGTGGTGAATTTCTTCTATTGTATTTTTCTGTTGTAGTAGATAGGCGAACATAGCAGCTATGTGTGAGTTCTTGTTCTGTTCTCCACATGTGTCAGAATATAGAATAGATTTTTCACTGAATCTAGCAAGTCCCATTATTTCTTTATAGGGATATGATGCAGTTTTGTTGGCACCATGCTTAGCTAAAGTTTGATGCCATAAATAAAAAGATGACTTATCTATAGCACATTCGTGAATGGTCAAGTTATATGTCCAATACAACCTTTTGTAAAATGCTACAGATGTTTCTAGATCCAGTGTTGGAAGACACTGCTGTAAATCAAAGGTGTAGCATTTAATTGATGGATTCATCTGGACTCTCGCTATGTCTAAGTCTGTTGCCTCCTGATGTAAATTGATCTCTTCCATAATCATATGTTTTTGTTCCTCATTATTACAAATTTCTAATTTCTAACAAATATCAGTTTTTCTTTCTTTAATTTCATTTTGTGAAAATTCCTCATATAGTGCCCTAGAAACTGGCTCAGTTACTGCTGTGCGATAAAGTTCATACATTTTTTTTAAATAAGATGATTGGGAAGATGTATTGTTATTATTGTGTCTGAGACTATAGGGACTTTCATATTGTGGAAATCAGTTAATATGATTTATAATTAATTCTCATATGTTCGGTGTTTTTTTGTTTCTAGGTGATTTTCTTTCTTGATATACTTGCACTAATGTACTATGTTTGCCTATCGTGAGCCCTAAGTGGCCAATATTCTTGAAATATTGTCCGCTTAAAATGGCTGAAATATCAAAGGTAAAGAAATCTGCAGATTTGGATCTACAATTTTTTCTCTATTCTTTATTTTCAGTTAACTCTAACCCAAGGTCCCACAACTCTTTTTCGTTTTTTAATAAGATTCTGCTACATTTGTCTAGTCTACTAAATTATTATTAGTTACTGATTCGCCTTCAGGTAAAATATAAACATAGAAGATAGCACTATGAATCACTTCTGTGATTATTACACACGATGATATCGACAAACACGATGATTATTATTTGCAATTATCTCGTATATGCTTTACAATAATAAATATGCATGTCTTTTGAGCTTTCAACATGATCACCAGAAGCAGTGATAGATGCTAAAGATGCTCTATCAATATCAATAAGTACTTATGTTGCTGTTGTTTCAAATTGTGTCTCTATATTATTATCTTCTAGAATATTAAAACAATATTAGTATTTAAAATTGTATCATATTAGTTTGATAATACCTTTCGAAATAGGTACATAGTCAGTAAGTGAAGCAATAATACATAACAGAATCATCATTATTTTCAGTAACGGTTTGATCTGAACGAAATATTCTTGTTTTTGTACTGTCACAATAAAACTTACGGCATATACGCAAAACAATAATCTTTAGTTTATGTCAAACAAATTTTACAGGAAATACTCAATACTTACCACTTGATAACTACTATGATACATGAGTCACATTATCTTTTTAACTCTTTTCTATAATTTTCTTATCTGTAACTATGCATCAGATACAAAATATTTTTTGGTGTATACACATTATTTTTATAAAAACATGTACCTATTGATCGAACAACCGAAAATAAATTAAGATCAGCAAGGCTTTTGTCGAGACATATGCCTGCTAGATCATAGCAGTTATTCTCCAATATAATATGGTGCAAGAGAAATAAATTGACTTAGGTCTTTTAATTTCATGTACCATATTTAACAATCATGTTTGGGGACTTCATATCACTGTGAATTATAATGTTGTAGACTTAAACCGTTTTAAAGGTTTCCGTGGCTAGTACAATTAAACCTAGTGCTGATTAATACTAATACAGGAATTAAACTAAACAGTCTCCCGGATCGAACCGCGTCGGTTATCATTGCGCTGAGCTTTCCACATCCTCTTCAATGTCTTCTTCAAGGCTTCCGAGGTCTCAGTCTTCCGACCCAGACAATACTAGCCTGATCACAAATCAATGCGTTACTCGGTAACGCATTGTGACCTGTCTGAATATGATGTTGGGGTAGGGCTAAAGTAGTATCGGAATGTTTGACTGATATAGAGCAGTGAACAAGAGCAGTGGCTTGGTGAGAAAGAGCA